TTTTCCTATTTAAATAAAAAATAAAGTAAGAAAAAGGAGCCGAGCAATGTCACTCACATCAAATTCTACATCAAATTCGTACTTCAGGAAATTCTGCATGTACCAGCATCTGCCAAACCACTTGGTGCCTTCCTTATTCGATTCCAGTCGAAACCAGTCATTGTCCGCCTCCTTATTATTTTTAACATACTACAACAATAAAATCATGTAACATGATTAAGTCTATACGTATCAATAATCATGCATCTTAAATCTATTCATTACATGAAATATTTCTGTGATAAATGTTACGCTATACTCAATAATGTGTCGTCACATTAATTAAATTAATTTTTAATATTTATAAACCAAGCAATAAAAACTGTCCATATGGAAGTGACATTTGTAAGCTTGCGAGAGTTACGTTTTCAATTCCCTCACCTTGATGAGAGCCTGATATTCCTCCTTCAACCTCTGCACCCACAAATCTTTGTCTCTGGGACCGGCTTTCGTTTGCAACAACGGAATGTTACTCAAAGTCTTCTTCGTCGACTCGTCGACCATCTCGATGGGCTGATAAACACTCTTTCACGATTTGCAGGTTATGGTGCCGTCCGCGGTCGCGGGCGTCGCGGCCAGTGTCACCAACCTAACGCTGCGTTCTTCAAGTTCTTCAAGATTTGTGCGATAACGACTGGCGGAAAAAAACATAATAATTAATGCGCGTCTCTCCAAATAATTACGATAAACGGTACAACTTGCTTGCTTGCTCTTACGGCCTCATTCTTGCGTTTTATTTATAATTTTATTTACGGTGCATTCGTTCCTCGATCGATCGATTGTTAATTCGCGGACGGTTGCATTCCTGTGTCTGCCGCTAGCCGCTAAACCAGGCGTGTGTTGCGTGTTTCGCAGTGTTGCGTACATCCCAGTACATCCATTCCAATCCATTCATACATACCGTTCCGTTTACGCTGCAAGCTGCAAGAGACGCAAAGATACGGGAGCGCTCGTACTTAAATGGCGATGAGATGCTAATCGACCGTCAATAGTGTACTTGTGTGACTAGCGATAAACACGACGGACGCACGATGGCCGACTCGTCCTACGAGAAGGGGTTGACGGAGCTGTCGAAGATGAAGGTGAGCGTCGCGAGTCGAGTCGTATGTGCAGCGGGCCACGCCATTCCTCGGCGATACCCTAACCCTAACCACTAATCTCCCTCGAGCCCGGAATCGACCGGTTACTTCGTCTTGCTCACTTCCCCTGTTGATTTTAACACGCTAAACTTCTGTTCAACTTGTTCACTCTTGTTTTAACACATTAAACTTCTGCTTAATCTCTTTTTTTTTTCCGGAATATTAACTGGTAGTTTTATTAGTGGTAACTTTTATAGATAAGGCAGCGCGAAACGTAGATACCGTTTTATGTGTTTCCTTTTTCTTTTCCTTTATTAATTGTGTTCATTCAATTTCCATTACATCGTCATGTTTTTCACCAGGTGGCTGACCTGAGGGTTGAATTAAAGCAACGAGGACTTCCCACTACTGGCAATAAAAATGAATTGGTAGAAAGACTCCAGCTGGCGATTCACGGAGGTTCCGTTCTTATTCTATTTCAGTTTTTTTTTTTTGATATAAATATCTGGGCGTATTTGTGTAAAAGAACGATTTATATCTTATAGATTCTGCATTGTCCTTGGATGAAACAACGGAAGAGATTTTAGATGAGGATGAGGTTCTTGGCGTAAGTATTTTATTCAAGAGTGTAACGATATTAACAGTAATATTAATATATTCGACAATAGATGATATATATCTGAATATTATATTAATTATTTTTATTATATAAATACATCTGGATTAATTACAGGACGAAGAAATCGAGGAATTGTCCAGTAAACCAGATTCGCAAGAAGTCCCTGAAAAGCGAAAATTGTCTATAGAGACCAACAATACCAATGCAAAGAAGATAGTGCTGAACCGCAAACCTGTATTGGAGGAAATAAAGAATGATCAAGTGGAGAAGAAAGAAAACAAAGGGGCAAAAGTACTCGAAGACGCACCGCCAGAGAAAAAGATTATCAAACTATCGGAGCTCAGCACAAAAGAGGTAACGGAGAGAAAATTATAGCTAGAAAATATTGAGTAATAAAATTCGTTTGTTATATTGTTTATTAATATATGATTGTGCTAATTCTCTAACAGAGATTAGAAATGAGGGCTAAGAAATTTGGAGTACCGTTATCCGAAACAGCAAAGAAGGAGGCTAGATTAGCCCGTTTTAACGTAAACAATCAAAATAACAAATCGGCTGCGTCCATAAAGACGCCTGTGGTAAGAAATTTAATAGTTCATTTTGCGGCTTGTGTTATCGAGACAAAATAATAATTCAGAATTATTTTATGACAATTATTAAATTTTTCATAGCCTACTACATATGAAATGTTGAAGAAACGTGCAGAAAGATTTGGTAGCTCGGTATCCACCTTGATGGAGAAGGTAAACAGAAATATGCAGTTACTTTTGTGAATATATGCGCACGTTTTTGAAAGCTGTCCTTTTTTTTCATCTCGCTGGTTTTATCGTAAATCTCTTGTTTTCTTTTAGGCTGAATTAGCTGAGCGATTGGAAAAAAGGAAGGCCAGATTCGGTGAAGTGGAGCCCGCCGAGAGTAAAGTGTCTAAGAATAAAATTAAGATTGTTAAATGATACTCGGTGTTATATACTAAAGCGACGATTTAGAATACAAATCTTAATTTAAGTTTTCTTATTTTCAATAAAGCTATTATACAATATACATGAGGAGAACAATGACTTATTGAAGACAATGTACTTTTTAATACCATTATCACTTCAGTATTAAAGCATCCATATTTCTGTTTTCGTTTTCTCTTTATGTTACCTTATCGCGTATTTTTCTTATAAAGAAGTAGGCGAAAGAGAGAAATTCTCTTAAGAATGTAAATGGATGTATTACCAATAAACTTATATGCGCAACAGTATTTTAGTCGTAATTTAAGTATCGGTACGAAGAACGTTACCTAAAATTTCGGAACTTTAGGACCTAAAGTTCAAGTTGATAAAGTAAAAAATTTATGCATATGCTCTTACAATACGCATATGTGATAAAAAAAAATTAATAAATTACAACAAGCTAGAACACAGTATTTCATCATTGTAATAAATAAGAGAACAGTATTTTCTCTTTTCTGCAAATGGTTTTGTATGCAATAACTTTTTATAGAACTATTGTTAACTGTCAGTCGATCAGTCGAACGATCTATTCGAGATAACTAGATTCTAGCAGGGTGTTTTCTTATTATGGTAATTTAGTGCCAGAACTGCTGCAGCGAGAAATCGGATCGGAGTGCCGACATGTGTTTTTCTAACAATTGCCTCCTAAAATATTTTGTTTGTTTACCTTGAGTTTTTCTCACGATAGAAAAAAAACGTTATTTTTAAGGACATTCCCAAAGACACGTGAAAGCGTTTGATGCATCGACATGCACGTCCTCCATTTGTCAATCTACATTGTATTTCACCTGTGTGTGCTTTTCTTGAATGTCCATTGCCAGGAGGCTTATACATTCGATGATGTCACGCCTGATACGTGAGTATTTTGACACTTTAGTGCGCATTTTGCCGCCAAAAATAAATTCATCATACATATACAGCACAATTGCTTCCTAAGCTGCGTGCAGTACTTTCTTCCTTATCTTTTTAAGCAAAACAATCCACCAATCGCTTACAATCACAAGAGCTGTCCTGGATGCATATAAATATATTATTAATCGCATTGTTATATTATAAATAATACGTATATAAATGTATTTTTATTTTGGATACTCTATATAAATGTATCTTTCAGAGCCACTCCAGAGCTCAGAAATATACACTCGTTCTTCTATATGTCCAGCGAAGAAGATTTGTCTAGGTATATATGTTATTCCATATAAGATATAAAATTTTAGACAAGTTGATAGATCATTTTGATTCCTCTTAAATTGCAGTTTGGCTGCAGAGACAAGGAAGAACGAACAATCGCTTAGCAATGCAATGGCACAGCCATGCAGTTGTCGAGAACTGGATGAACGAAATACTCAGGAAGCAATCTTCTATAAACGTTTGATCGCTATATTATTATCAAATCTTGCGATACAGGCAAGTAGTTGTCACGTATAATCGAAGAGTGTAGTCTAAAACCATTTAGCACGTAGAAGTTTGTTACTCAAAGTCAATATATACATTCTTATTCGTATATATGTATAATAAAATAAATTGACAAATTTTTCTTGCAGAGAATTGATGACGGATTAATTGGAAGGCTTAACATAGAAGCGTCTTCTTCGCAATTCGAGTACCTTCAGAACTTTGTAAACGGCCAGGGTTCTATAAGGGAAGTTGACAGAATTCTCAACAATGCGATAAAGCGATCTGCATACTCGGCGTGTGATTATATGGCCGAGGCGTCTTATTATTTCAATTTATTTACGAGCAAAGCATCGGAGTATTTGATGCTTATGAATGAACACGTAAGGATAATAATATTTATGTATAATATTTAAGATTATACCTCCACATTTTGAGTTTATATATTTAGTGATGTGGATCTAAAATCAATTTTCTAAACTGTTACAGTGGGACATAACTATAATCGCCTTCACACTCATAGCTAGTTTTATAATTTTGAGAAGACAAAGATGGTCTCGAGGTTTACTTATCTTTCTCATGATCGATGTTATATTTGTAATCAGTTTCTTCATAACTTGGTGGCGACTTATACAGGTAATTTATATATTATTTTATCACAGAAAAAATGTAGACTTTAAAGTATATACATTTGTATATTGATTATATTGAAAACTTATGTAGCATATATTAAAAATAAAGTATATAACGTATATACCTATATTTTGAATAAAATAATGACTATAGATTATAATTTTTTATTTAAAAATTTCTTCTATTTTACAGGAAGCAGAAATTAAATTAATGGCGGCACAAGCTCAATTTGCTGAAATGCCAATTGCCTGCCAGCCGGATAAAATGAGTCTGTGGGACAAGATGTGGGAGAAGATTGTATCCTGTGAGTATCTATAATATGTAATGCATTTTTTTAAAAAAACATTAATATACATTATTTGTAAGTGAAAATCTGTTCACAGCTACAAACGATTGCGAAAGATACTATGAAACAATCAAGACAAATCCTAGATTGCAAGTGACACCAGCATTTGCATTGACCCATTTTGTCACTACGACTATTTTCCAACCTTTATCGTACTTTGGGTTAGTTATGTCTGAATTCATAGATAATGCTACCAGTAAGTAATT